TGAGCATGTGTAGGGCAGTGAGGCAAGAACCCAGAATCCAGAATCTGACATCTTGAAAATGGTGAATCAACATGTTCCAACTCTGGGCAGCAGGACTATCCACATGCACAAAGCGGCGGAAACCGAGGCATTGAAACAGGCTGCGTGGGATGAAATTCAAAAAGATGCTGAAGGATGCTACGAAGGTAAGCCAAAGGAAAGAGGTCTGCTCAACGGGGCAGTCTTCAGGGCTTCTGGCAGCAACTGCACTACCATCAACAGAGAAGAACAAGGCCACAAAAGCAAGCGAGCCAAGGATGCAGTCCATGAAAATCTTGGCACGTTTGGCTGCAGTGAGGTGCAGGTCAAACTGGTGCATCTCAAAGAGAGGATTTGTAGAGACAAAAGTGGAAAACCAGCAGCGCAAGCGAGATGTGTGAACCTTTACATATGCAGAAGGCAAGTTGTCCTTCACACGCAGAGCCACTGCTTTCAGGCCAGTAGACTTCTGTAACGCGAGGCTACCTTGGACCCAGCCTTCGGCACCCCATATGTGCTCTTCAATAAAATTGGTGTGGAGCCCGTGTTGTAAGGACGCTTCTCTCAATGCGTTTTGACAAAGAATGCTTTCCTGCAGCTTGTTGTAAGGCAGCATCTTCTTCAAGGCTTGCATTGCTGCAAGCATGTCAGGAGACGGACGTTGGCTCTTGTTCCTTCTGGCACAACCACATCTGCAACGGCAACAGCTCGCTTGAGGAAAAGCCGACGTCTCAGTGAAAAAAAACTTGGCCTGCCACAGGTCTCGGTCGTCGCGCATAACGCCAGCAGCCACCACGAGCAACAAGACCGCGCTCAGCGACCACAAGCACAACGAAGGAGGTCGTGTCCACCAGTCTGGCCGCTCGATGATTTCTCGCATGTTTTCAGGTGACAACACATTGATGTTCGTGCAATCGAGGAGCACATCTACAAAAATGGCGAAAATGGAGAGGTGAGATGTAGCACACCACGCGCCTGAAGTGTCAACCCCTCTGAACTGCTCAAGCTCCTCTGCTGTTGCCCAGCGTACACCCTCCGTTGACCAACTTCCGTCTGGGAGCTGATAGGCGCAAAACAACGATGGCTCAGGATTGGCCATCGACAACTTTATAAAGATCGGCTCGGCGGACGTCACATGGACTACAGACAGGTCGGAGCTAAACCATGAAACGTCCACGGCATCTGTGGCAAAAATCAAAGGATTGCCAGCACTTGACGCTGCCGAAACTCCCTTCCCCATGAGATCCTTGCCCATCTCTCCATTGAAGCTCGTGATCACTAGAAAGCCATAGCTGCCATTCTGAAGGGTCTCTGTGGGAATCAATGCAGTAGATGTGCTGCTGTCAATCGTGTGACTAACCATTGCAAAGCCACTTTCTGGCGATTGGTCCGTCAATTTCACTGCTGTCATTGTGCCAAGCGGAGTCAAGGCTGTTGAGACATTATCTGAGCTGAGCTGTGTTACTAAAGACCTGACATTGACCTCAAGGGCTTTGGCAACAACAAAGTTGCCTCCAGTCTCTGGAAGTGTCGCGCCCATGGTAGCACTGGAACTCGAAGTAGTGCTAGAACTCGGGCTTAAAGTTGAAGAAAGCGAGCTAGTTGTACTAGAGCTTGAACTGGTGCTTGACGTGGTGGTGCTCAAACTTGTAGTGCTGGAGGTGGAGCCGGTCGCAGTAGAACTGGTCGTGGTGCTGCTGAAACCTGATGTGGCAGCGCTGGATCTTGACGTGCTAGTGCTGGTGCTTGACGTGGTCGTGCTGGAGAAGGCAGAGCTGGAGCTGGAGCTGGTCGCAGTAGAACTGGTCGTGGTGCTGCTGAAACTTGTTGTGGCAGCGCTAGAACTGGACGTGCTAGTGCTGGTGCTTGACGTGGTCGTGCTGGAGAAGGCAGAGCTGGAGCTGGAGCTGGTCGCAGTAGAACTGGTCGTGGTGCTGCTGAAACCTGTTGTGGCAGCGCTGGAACTTGACGTGCTAGTGCTGGTGCTTGACGTGGTCGTGCTGGAGAAGGCAGAGCTGGAGCTGGAGCTGGTCGCAGTAGAACTGGTCGTGGTGCTGCTGAAACTTGTTGTGGCAGCGCTAGAACTGGACGTGCTAGTGCTGGTGCTTGACGTGGTCGTGCTGGAGAAGGTAGAGCTGGAGCTGGTCTTAGTATAGCTTGATGTTGTACTGCTGGAGCTTGATGTGGCAGTGTTGGAACTGGACGTAGTGCCGGTGCTTGAAGTGGAGCTGGTCGCAGTAGAGCTTGTTTTGGTAGAACTGGATGTTGACATTGTGGTGGTGGTGCCCTGCAACTGTAAATACCACAAGTCTGAAAGCGCGGACACATCGAAGCCTCCGAACAGGGCTCGCTCAACTACTCCCATCTCGTTTCGTTCATTTCCCAGACCCTGGGAGGAAACAGTTCGGAAGTGACGGTGTCCGCCGACCTTCTTTTCCAAACAGGGGAGGTGACTGGGATGGGTGGGGGTGACATTCAACTCCACAAAACAAAACAGGGCAGAAAACCGTTGGTGCTTTTCGCACTGCGGGAGGAAGTTGATTTTGGACTGGAAATGTGAGTTTCTTGTCTATAAAATCATGTCTTTCGGAATCCAACAGCGGTATCGAGGCCCGCGCGAGACAATTGAGTGATGTCTAGCAGGAAGAGGCAGGCGGCACTGGGCGAAACAATCCATAATCCTGTGATACTCGCCATACCCTTCGGACTCGGGGCATTCGGCTTTGCACAACCAGTCCTTGGCAACCAGTTGGATATAGTTTATGGTAGCGGAGCCGTTTGGCCTGCTGGCCCAGAAGCACGTGAGCGGCATCGCACTGCGGGAGATGAGCGTCTAGGGCTTGGGGCCTGATCGGCTAGCTTTGGCTTTGGTGCTCCATCCTATCGGCAACTCTGGGAACCTGGTAGTCGACTGCATAGTGATGTTGAAAAGGCCACTAGGATGTGAAGTTGGCTCAATCGGACCTCGAACACATTGATTCCCACAAGGACTTGCTGAGGGGGAAGGCTGCGAGCGAGACGCACCTCCTGCGGTGCCGCATGGCCTACGGCAGCAACGTCGACGAGCTCGTGAACCTATTAGTATTTCACGCAGCTGTTCGGGGTCTGTGCTGGCACGGATTGAAATATTGTATGAACGCACGAAAACAACGCCATGAAAGAATCACGTGTCCGGCACATGCACATACTACGTACGCCCCCTCTGTAGATTCCGATACCCCTGAAAATGGCCGCCCCAACCTCGGCAGAAGTTCCCGCTTCCCTGCCTCCAAAGAGCCACATGCGATTCTGCGAGTCGCGGGCGACATAACTTCTTTTTCTCGCAGAGGCGGCGGCGCCGGTGGTGACCTCAGTCCACACCTCACCCCCAGGACCCAGGTAGCGCAGGTCGGCCAGGAAGTCTGACGCTTCCACCGGGCAATTTCTCGGAAATGTCCCATCAACCCTGAACAAGAACAAATATGACTGAAGCCTCCTTGGAGATATGAAAAAAGAAACGAATTACCAAACAAACTATAATAATCTTCCAGACTTGCTGACTAAACTGTTTGAGACTCAAAAGGAGAAGCATCAACGGAACCAAGCCAACACAGGTTGAAGGTCAATCAAAATCCAGGCAAGAAACTGGCACCATTTGTGCCACTCCAGATCCACATAATCTCAGCTGACCCTGCGACAAACTGAGTGGACTGTCTTCCGTCAGGGGTATTGGCCGCAACAACGGTCGTCCATGTTGCTGCCACTGTGTCCAACACATGCAAGCCCCCGGAGATGCCGTCTGCATCAGCGCCGCCAAAGATCCACATGCGGTTGCTTGAGTCCATGACCGCAACATGCTCTACCCTTGGGCTAGGTGGGATACCACTTGTGGAGACCTGGGCCCAATTCTCGGCTAGTGTGTCGAGGAAATACACCTCGTTCACCAGGTCGGTGTTGCTAAGCTCGCCACCAAAGACCCACATGCGGTCGCTGGAGTCCATGACCGCAGTGTGCTGCTGCCGAGCCGTTGGCGAGGAGCCAGTGGCAGTGACTTCAGCCCAAACTTCTGTCGCCGTGTTCAAGGTAAACACAGCGTTGTAGTAGGTGCTGCAGCATGTAATGCCGCCGAAGATCCACATGACGTCGTTGGAGTCCACAACAGCTGTGTGGTATGACCGGGCAGGGGGCACAGAGCCAGTGACGGAGACTTGGGTCCAGCTTGGTGTCACCGTGTCCAAGCGCCACACCTCAGCGGTGTCAGCGGGCACCGCGTCTTTTCCGCCGTAAATCCACAAGCGATCGCTGGAGTCCACCACGGCAACACCGGCGTGCCGCGCAGATGGCGCGGAACCGCTGGCCGTGATTTGGCTCCAACCGGCCGCCACACCCAGCAAACCACACAAGCGCAGCAGCTGCGAAGCGCCATACGCCATGGCTCACAGCTGACGCGCGCGCTCTGATGTAATCAAGTTGCGCTTGTCATGTCACCTTAGTCTTTCCTGCTACATCGTGCAGGTTGGGCTCCGTTGTGCTATGCTATGCTGTGTCACTTCATGCTGTGATATGTTGTGATGTGTAGGTGATCGAGTGGGGGAGGGGTTGAAGAAAGTACCCTCCCGAGAGTTGTTGACATGCCAGAAAACAAATCAGTTCCAATTTGGCAACCCCTGTTTGGGGATTCGGACAAATTCCTGTGGCGCTCCTGGAAAGTATGTGGGAGCTGGCTCATACAGCCTTCGTCTTTGAACTAGGCGTGCGGAAGTCAAAAGGACGCATATCGATCGACAACCGCTTCCAATTCCCTCTCAATGCAGCTCTCCAAGACGCTCAACATTGGTTGGGTTCGCCAGTGGCTTCTCAGCCCCCCCCCAAAAGACAAACAAGATAATGTTAGAGGACTTGCCTTTTTGGCCCTTTTGGCCTGAGTGTTGTTTGTGTGCGCGTGCGTGTGCAGCGCTCGAGTTCAAATCTCTAAGGTTTGTGGCTGCCCCTGAGCCACCGGCGCTGGCAGCGCTCAGCGTCTCTCCGACTTTCCCGTCGAAGTCCAGGGGCGCGTACTCCTGCACTCACTGCCCAGACAAAGGGGATGGGGATGTCTCAAGACCCGCGTGTCCATTCCCCGCCTTAAGCCTCCGCAGCCGCTCGAGTCTCTGCACCTCCGCCAGTGGTCGGCCGCTGCGGCCGCCTGGCGGGGTACTCGGGTACCCCCTGTAATGGAGCGAAAGGTGGATGCCTTGGATGCCTTGGATGCCTGGATACGGTCGAACGGCTAACAGTCGTAAGGGTTTGAAAGGTAGCTCTGAGCAAAACAGCAGTCGGACAATTGGAACACACACAAACACACAAGCAGCGAACGTCCAATCTCCGCCCTTCAGTCCTTCTGAAAAAACGAGCTTGTACCAGGCTCCAAAACAAATCGGACTTGGCATCGAGGGTCTTCTGCGGACACGATTCGTATTTTCAAGAGAAGTTTCAGCGCGCATTGCAGCAGGGAAGAAGCATGACATCAATCCAGGTTCATCGGAGCTGGCCATCTCAATGCCATGTCTGTGGACCAAGTGGGACATCGGTGTGCATTTGCGTTTGCTCTTCTTCTTCTTTTTTTTTTTCTGGGGGGGAGGAGCAAAGGGAAACCAAAGCAAAGCCACCTTTTGGGGGGGTTCCCCATGAGACGGACACATCGGGAAGGCAAGGATGAGAGCACCTTCCTTCCCTCAGTCCATTGAGTGCCAGACCGCCGACCAGCGGTCGAATATTCCACATATCTTTCGACCTTGCAGACGGAAGCTTCAAAAGAAACCTGGAGCACATAGACGTTGCCTGTCCGCACAGGGTTGTTCTAGGCTTTGCCACACAAGAATAACAAGAGTGCAATCATTCCTTGCCACACATTGCCATTCACTAGTTGATGGAACCGTTTCATCCTCACAGGGCCCACAACAATGCTTATATATGATACATGAGTGCCAGTGGCTCATTCAAAATGTTCTTGTGAAACGATCCAACCGTCCTTTGGAGTCCTAGCATCAGCGAACCCTCCATTCGATGCGAGGATCTCCATTTGCAAGCGGTTGGACCTCGACAAAAGCCTGGTTCTAGGGGTTGATTCCCCATTCTGTTCAACCATCGTTCTTTCAACCAGCTGCTTCCCCTGGGTTTTTTGATGGTTCCTGAAGAGAAGGATCCCTGGAAAGAATGGGGTACTTTCCCCTAGAACTGGTGTAGGTGTAGAATCAACGCCCAAGGCTTCTAGGGCCCAAGAAGGGGCCCTCGTGTACGGCCAAAAGCCGAAGCTCAGCTGCCAGGCGGCTTCTCCGCCTTGGGGGGTGTGCACCTGAGGTGCAGCCGATCCGAGCAATCGAATTCAATGGCACCCATTCGGACAAAAAATGGATCAATCTGGGCGAGTTCATGTGGGTTCCGTAGACTTGTTAACAACCGACACTTGATTCCTGATCATGACTTTAACCCCATTATTACCCCCCGTAATCATGGCTAAAATTGGTTTAAACGCGCACACACCCCGATTCAATGTTTGTTCGCCGCTACTACTATTGAGGTGGTCGAAAAACATGGGCCGTTTTTGGGACAGTGCCGCCTTGTGGAGGGTGCCGAAAAGGGGCCAGATGTTCACATCCATGGGGTCTCCAACAACGATATCCGGTTTCCCTTTGGCTTACAATTGAAACCGACGGGTGGTGCGCCCCTTCCCCGACACCCCAAAAAATGACTATAGGTCTGGAAAAACAGAATCGTTTTCACACAAATGGTACCTAATCAAGGCTAAAATGAACAAAGTTTGGGTTGGGGCCACGGGATATAGTGATTCTGTGCTGATTGAATTCATGAAGCAAACGAGCCGATTTGGCTTCAGGCAGCGTGGACTTCTTGCTCAAAGCTTGTTTTTTGCAATTTCTATCCTGCAGCCAACAAGTCCATTGACCTGAAATCGCGCCAGTGATTGCTCTCTTCCCGCCAGAAGCCTAAAGGACGTCCTGTCAATACCTTTGTCGCACCTCGCAGCAAATATCGAACACTTTAGCACCCATACTTTGAACATGGGTGAGGAAATGGTGGCTGTCCTTTTGGTGTCCCTTTCAAACCACAAACACGAGGTATCCTTCCAAAAAAAGGCACATCCAAGCCACAAAGCCCAAGGCATCGCTGGGGGGCCCGGTCATGACAGCGCGGATGTTGCCGACGTTGGCCACCTGGCAAAACGCAGGCCACTGGGATCCGGCAACCGACCTCAGGAACAAGATCCTGATCCCTTCATTGCTCCATCTGTTGTATTGTATTTGGGTGCATTTGTTTTTTGAGGGTACTCTTTTTGGGGTGGGTTTAACGGGAAACCAAAGGACGCCATCCATTTTGGAGGTCCCCCACGTATTTCCAGCCGCCAGCCACACGGCCGCAACATGCCGAAAGCCGCCAGCACCCGCTGGCCGAGGACCAGCAGCAAAGCCTGCGGTGAAAACACGGGAAAGCTTTCGCTCAGGTGGCCATGGGTCAAAAGCCAAATCGTACCCCCAGTCCTCGGTGGTGCACCTACCCCAAAGTGGTACCCTTGGTTTTGACCCACAGCCAGGTGTCAAAATCGTGATCGGATCCCCCAAAATGGTGTGGTTTTCCTGTTGGTTGCCCTTGAAAGCCCATGAAGAGGGGGGTAGCCTCAAAAAAAAGGACACACCGGTATTAATATGTTTTTGGTACCCCAAAGGGTTCCGTCGTGTTGCTCCCTTTGGCTCGGACACCGACTTCAGTTGGGCTTCTCACGCTTCCAATTCTGAGGGCTGCGCCAAGCCGCAGCCTCCAGCGCAGGAAACCCCCAATGGGTGGCTCGTCTGTGTTTACCCCAAAATGGTGGTGCTCCGGTTGGTTCCCTTTGAAACCAACCCAAGGGGTCCCCCCCCCCAAGAAAAAAGCCCCCCCCCCCTCAAAAAAAAGCCTAGAACCTGGCAGGTTCGAGGGGTTCTTCTCGCATGTTGCATCCCCATGGCCCCAAAGAGGTGGCCTGTCAATTTGAGACCTGCACACCCCTTCCCCAAGACGTGTTTCATCGTTCGTCATGTCCATACAGCTTCATGTTGCCGTCCTCAACGAAACCCGCCTCTCCTCCAATTTGAAATCCAAGCGCTGCACCCCTCAAAATGCTTTAGCAGCGCATTTCAATGTCTGAAGCACTCGCAAAACAAGTTGGGAAAGGACCTATGAGTACAATTCCCAAGAAATCCATTCAAGGATCCTTTGCCACTTACCCTGTCCAAAAAACCATGGAAGCTGACAGAAGGGCTTGAACTGCCGTCTTGAAAAGGGCCCGATTTCAAAGGCTGATCTTCATATTCATCAATTCCCAACCAGGTAATTCTGATGTCCACCAAAAGGGGCCCACTTCCGGCCATTTCCCACCTAAGAATCACACGAGCACTTCGCGGGGCCTGCATAGCGAGCATTGCTCTCCAGCAAGGACTTGTCCAGATCCTCGATGGCCTACACGCGTTTAAGTCGACATGGCAAGGCTTCTCAGGGAATGAGGACGTCACCTCAAACTGAAGCCTCCCTGCCTGCTTTCCAACCAAAAAAAAACTGTTCTCCCTGCCTGCAAGCAAAAAAACAAATGCCCTCCCACTCGGGTAAGGTGGAACTCCCTCCAAGAGGTCCCCTTTGAGCATCATCCCACAAGGAAACTCATATTACAATGCACCAAAGGTAATGTCGTGTTCTGCCAAAAAGTGCCGTACGCCAGGAAAGTGGTCCCAAAAAAACAAGCAGCTGCACCTCCAGTGGCCCAACAAATGCGCCCTTGCAAATCAACATGGAACCTTCCCAAAAGGTGGGTGTGGCTCAAAATTAAACAGGAGGGGCAAACCGCTAGCAGGGCGGCTTCTCAGCCACTGCCAGATGGTTTTGGGGGTCCATGTCAAGCAGGGGAGCATGACTTCGTGGCATAATCTTCCAGTGCTAAAAGAAACCCAGTTAGCCAAAAGGGGCCGAACGTCACCAAGCCATGTTTTTCTTGGAGGGTACCACACAAGAGGAATGGCCACGAGCGAGAAACCAACCCAAATACCACAAAGCACGGGTTGCCCACCAGAAGACGAATGGCCCAAATACACCAAACCCGCCAAAGGAAGACCTCCGGGGACAATGGCAGTAACGCTGGCAAAACACGTGATGTGTGCTTAGTCTCCTTCAATCAAAAGCGGGGGGCAAGGCATGAACCCTGCATGCCTGAAGCAGCTCGGTCGGTGACATCCGCTCGACTGGAAGAAGCCAACAGGGGTATGACTCCAATTTGGGGACCCCTTGGTGGACATCTTTACATGGTTGGATTCATGTCCACCATGTCAAAGCAAGTAGCCGAATCATTAGGACGATGGGCCCACTGCAATTGATCGCAGGACAACACGACTTGAAATCTACATCTCAAGACTGGCCTGGTTCACCATGTCGATCAGCTCAAAGTCCTCTGGCCTGAAAGGCTCAAATATGTCTGTATCCTCAGCATTCCTTTGATGGGTGTTGAGGCCCTAGGCAGCATATTATTTAAGAGTGACAGTTTGGGAATCGGTGTTCTTGGGTTCGGATGACCAATAGACTCGAGTCAACCAGGCATTGTGGTTGAACAAGCACCTAGAATCCGCAAAAGGGCAACTTCAAATCATGTTAGAAGCTGTTTTTGGGGTCATCTATCTGTGAATATGAGTATCCAGAATCCAGAATCCATAAATGCAGCAATGTGATGTCTCACGTCCAAAATCAAACGAGCACCCTGCCCCCTCCTGCCCCATGCGCTTGTGGCAGGCTGTGCTTCTGCACCAAGCAAATTTGACTTTTTGTTTTCGCGCCGTCCATAGTTTGAATTTCAAACATGAATCAGCATGGTCGACAGGTCCCGTCATCAAAATAAGAACAGGGTTCCGCCCCACTGACTGTGAGCAACCTCATGTCCCCAGACCCAAATAGACCACAGATTGCTGGACATCTTCACAGAACCTTGAAGGATTGTCTAGTGGAGCCGCCATCTAAAATGAAAAAATGACCGCACCTTGAGAAAAAAAAAAACCGAGGCCGCCAACTCATCCTGCCGAGAGCTCAGCCTCAGGCAGGACTCGGATTGCCCAAGGCACAAAATCGATTTGAATCAAGGTGCCACATAGTTCGAGGTCGAGTCACTGAGTCAAAGTATAGCGTTCTTTATGTTCTTTCCAAGACCGGCGTAAAGCCGCGAGGGTTGGGCCTGTCCCTTACCTCATCTCTCACGTCGCTCGCTCATCGGCCCCTGCCGTGGCAGGAGGAAGGTGTGAAATCTCTGGGCGCAAAAGGCAGCACCAGCCTCGGCCAATGCACACGGGGCCAAAGGGCTTTGGGCGAAGCCGCCATCCGCGCTCACTACACCTGTTGTTTCACCTGCCCCAACAAATTGCGCCATGGGGGACTAAACAACTGTTGCTGCTCCAAGCGGAACCTTTCAGATTTCGCTGTCGTTTTCAATGCGTTTAGCTCACCGTTCCTGCCACCTGCATGGGTCTGGGGTACCTAGAAAAACCTTTGGCCCCGGGCGCTGGTTTCCCTGAGCCCGTCCACCAGCAGGAACATGGCCGCAGGCCGGTCCTGGCCACTCGATGTTCCCGGACCCCGATCTTGGGACCCGCACAACGGAATTGAGGAACCAGAGAAACTCCGGAAATTCCTTTGCACGGAAACCAACGCATTGCAAGTGAACCACGAACCGATCGATGAATGGCGGGGTTTGCAAGGCTTCCAACTTGCTGCCGTTGTGACATGGGTGTGTCTCCAAATTGGGAACTCAAATGGGTAGTTTCCTGTTGGTTCCCCTAAACAATCCCAGAAACGGTGCCCATGCAACAAAAATTAGGCCGTGCCTGCTGGACACCAAAGGCTAGTTTTTGTTGAACGGTCCCTCTCTTTCCACATACACCAGCGATGGGCAGGGGGTGGGCCCTCAAAATTGTGTCCTTGGTAGCCCCTGCCTTAGACCCTAAATGTGAGAGTCACTCAAATCTGATGCCCGTGACAAGCCTAAAGTGCACACTGCCAAGTGGAGTGCAATGAACTCTTGGCCAATCCAGCATGCTGCTTAATTGGATGTTTGCCGGTTGCCATCTGCCCTCTAAGATTTTCGTCTGACCGAGTTGTCTAGCCAGAACATGTTTGATTTTGTGTTGGTTTTCTAGCGTGAAGAGCCTACTGAGACCTACCAACAAACAGTTTGAAGCAGATCCAACCTTCGATTGAAATGCACCCTGCCACAAGCGCTACCCTCTCTAGCGCACGGCGGCGAATCGATTCCCCACCATGAAGAGCAACGGCTGCTTCAGTAGGTGGCAGGTCCGGTGCAGCTCTGGCCTGTGAATCCCACAGGAAAAGCGTGAGTTGGTCCCTTCCAGATCATAAGGCTGTGGTTGTCAAACCCAACGGTACCATTTTGGTTGGTAGGTGCACCACCCAAGTCTATTTTAGTGGGGATTGGGATGTTCACTGGGGGTACGGGGTTTTGACCCATGGCCATATATATATATATATATATGTTGTTTTTAGGGGCGTTCCTTTCCAACCACCAAAAAAGGGGTACCCTCACCAAAAGAAACACCCATATAAATGTGTGTACGTCTTTGTGTTTGAATGGCGGGAACCCATGGGCGGAACCCCATGGGCGGCTTCCATTTGGTCCCTTCAAACGACTCAGCAAAGGAATCCCGCAAAAACGACGCCCATATGTATGCATCAGTGGACTCTAAATTCATCCAACACCAAAACAATTGGCATATAATCCATTTGGAAGGGCTTGTCAGGCTTGATCAAAATCCTGTTATTGGATTGTTCCGAGCGGGTAGGTCTGAAGCATTATATAACGCGTTTGATGACAGCAATGAGATCAATATTCATAGGGGAACTTGACCGCAAACAACAATGCAAGTTGTTCTCGCTCAGAGATATGTTTGAGCATCATCTCAACAGCTGCCAGGGCTTTTGGGTTTCGGCCTTTGGGTTTCGGCCCTTGTTCCATGTTGACCAACAAAAACAAATGTGTTCCCTTGTGACGCCTCACATTTTGCCGCTGGCCAGGATTTTGCCCCTTCCCCCCCCCCCCCCCACATCCATCGCACGCGTACAACCGTACCAACTTGCGCGTGAATGTTCTGTCAACACTCAGCTCAGAGAGTTGTGACTGTCCACACCTCCAAATAAAGACTTGATAAACAACATCTGGAGCAGTGCAATCTTTGGCTTTAAGAGCAGGTTGAAGGAAAGCGAAAGTATAAACAAAACAATTAGCCCCTGAGGCACAGGCAGCATCACCGTCATGGTGTCTTTCCGACCACCAGTTCCGGGAAAGCATGCCGAGCCTCATGGCATTCTGGTCTCTCACGACCGGCTGTGTTCGAGTGAGGGTTCTCTTTGCTTCTAACACCACAAATCCATGTCAACCACTCTGGGAACCCTTCTTCTAAGGTTGCTGAGCAAAACAGCCCGCAATCTCGCAACTTGCCGCACTTTCGTTGAATAGTGCATAACGTGGCACCTTTCAGTGCACATGGCCCTGGCACTGACACGCAAAATAAGTTTATTAGCTGCTAGCTCTTTGTCGAACGACGAGATCCGAGATTTCACGGTGCCGTCACAGGGAGGGCAGCGCCTCTTCAACGTTACAAATTTCATTCGGGGCCCGACCTGCCAAATACCCGGGCAAACTATGGCGACGGATTTGCCTTGCCACAGATTCTCTCCATGCTTCTTGGAGGCCGAACTTCAGATTGGTGAACGGTTTCCCGCAGAACGGGCATTTGTTGTGGTCGGGTTGGAAGAACCAGCGCCCAGGAGAGGATGAGAGATTACTCGGTGATCATCTGCTCAGAATATACTCGTGGCTGAGACAAAATAGGAACTAAAAACATATCGGCAAACCGCTCTTGTTTTTGTTCCGTTTGTTGCTATTGTCTCATCAATTCACCTAGTGAATTCCGATACTACCAACGGAAGACAACTCATTCTACTTTTGGCCAAGACGCTTAAGTCGTTGCTGGACAAACATCCCAACGATTTGCACGATCTCAGGGTCAAGCCGTTGGAGATCCGCACCGGCATGTTGTCTGGATGGTGCCTCCGGGGTCTGCTTCGTTCATCTTCACGGATCCTGTTTTGGTTTCTTGGAGGGGGCGGGTATTCTGTCTGAAGGGCTGGTTGCCAAATAGAAGGACTGAGTGTTCTCCCTGAAGATTCAATCTACCCTGAAACTCAGGCCAAAATCGCTTACTCCCACATTTCATTGGCGAATCTTGACACAAACGCATTGCCAGCATCTCAATCTCTAATCTGATGCCAATGCGACATAATGTTCAACTGCCATGTGCCGAACCCAACTTTCAGCAACGCCAAATACTGAGGCTTCCGCGGGGTTCCAGTTTGAACCCACCTTAGTGCCCCATCGGGTTGCTGCAATCGCACTTCACATAATAGAAAGGGTGTGTCCTGCGCCATAAAGAGGTCATTATCCCTTCCCCATGCACGCACTGGTCATGGAGCTTTCATACGTTTATGGTGTGCAAACATGGAGCCTTCTTTTCTGTTGACTACCGACTATGTGGTCTCCATCCTCATACTTCCGCAGCGTCAACGATATGTACAGTCTAATGCTGGCTGTCCCTAAGTCCCATTGTGCACAAACCAGGCACAACACATCTTTGGGGCCGGACAAAGCAGCTCGCTTGGGCGGGAAACAGCGAACCGAGCCGGAAGCGAGGGCGGATTGAACTCGAACTCGCAGCATCAGTTGAGCTAGCTCCACCAATTGATGCCTGAAAGCCGGCCAAAGCTGCGTCCAAATGCTAAAGCTCAGGCTGCCACAGGTGCGTATGTCTTCGCAAATTGGCGCAACCCTGAACCCGGCACCCTGACATTCTCGCGAAAAACCACCCCAATCATCAATAAAGCTCATCCGCCCTTTGGCCCTCCAAATTCGCACATTGCACTCCAAGCAGCCTGGTTTGCCGGCGGTCCTTCGAGCAAGCAGGCCCCTAACTTTTCTTGTGCGTTCCAGTCGCCGAAAATGTTCACAAACTGAATGACGAGGAACACACACACAGCGACCCTTACTGTCATGTTTGATCTCTTAGTGTCATTTGCTTTTGGATCCGAAATGGCATGTGCGTATGTACTAACATGTATGTATATATATATATACACATATATATACATATATACCGATATATATATATATATTGTACCCCTCCCAAAAAAAGGATTTGTGAGAAAACACTGGTATTTACAGCGCTTTGTCACCAAAACCTGCATCTGCCAGAACACACACTTTTCAGGCCCACTGTCTGCATCTGTCAAAAGCCTCTCATTTGGCAGCCAATGCTGCAACCAAGAACTATGATTGCGTAAGGGCATCTCTTCCTTGCTGGAAACTGAAAAAACTGATAAAACTGAACCAAAAAAAACTGAAAAACCAAGGATTCAGGGGGACATGGCGGCCCCCCCAGGCATGTCCCCCGGAATCCTTGGTTTCTCAGTTTTTGTTCAGTTGTTTTTCAGGTTTCCCCAAGTATTCACCTTTATTACTCCCCTAGTATTTTCTGAGTATTCCCCTAGTATTGCCCTAGCGCCCTAGCCAGGAAACCTGAGAGGTCAGACAAATTGAGCTTGAGAGTATACCCCTCGTATTCCCTCAGCATTCCCCTAGCATTCTCCTAGTATTCTCCTTTAGTATTCCCCCTTCCCTAGTATTGCCCGAGTATTCCTTTAGTATTCTCTTCGTACGCCCCGAGTATTTCTTAGTAAGGGAAAGGGAATCCTAGGGGAATACCTTCAGTATTGCCCTAGTATTCCTCAAATATTATTTTTGTATACCCCTAGTATTCCCTCAGAATTCCCCTAATATTATCCTAATGTTCACCTTTAATATTGCCGTAGTATTCCCTGAGTATTTCCTTAGTATTGCCCTATGATTGCCCCAGTATTCCCGTTATTGCCCTAGTATTCAGTTAATTTAGTAGTCTCTTGGTATACCCCTAGTATTTCCTCACTACCCCATAGTATTCCCTTGCTATTTCCCCTAGTAAAGGGATGGAATTACTAGGGGAATACATTTAGTATTGCCCTGGTATTCCTTAAGTATTCTCTTGGTATACCCCTAGTATTCTCTCAGTATTCTCCTACAATTCTTCCAGTATTCACCTTTAGTATTCCCCTAGTACTTCCCTAGTAGTGCCCTAGTATTGCCCTAGTCAGGAAGCCTGAGAAAAGTCAGACAGATTGAGCTTGGGAGTGTACCCCTAGTATTCCCTCAGTATTCCCTCAGTATTCCCTCAGTATTCCCTCAGTATTCCCTCAGTATTCCCACGTATTATCCTAGTATTCACCTTTAATATTGCCCGAGTATTCCCTGATTATTTACCTAGTATTGCCCTGGTATTCCCCTAGTATTGCCCTAGTAGTATTCTCTTGGTATACTTCTAATGTTTCCTCACTACCCCCTAGTGTTCCCCAAATATTTCACTAGTAAAGGAAGGGGAATATTAGGGGAATACCTTCAGTATTATCTAATTAACTACGCAGCTAGATAGATAACTAACTGATTAGCCAATTAACTAGCTAACTGGCTTTAGAGCTAGTTCATTACAACTATTTAATTGACTAATTAGCTGACTTGCTGACTTTTTGAATGACTAACTCATTGAACTTGCCAACATTTACTGCTTGAACTTGAAAAATATGCGGTTCGCAAAAACGAAAATACACATGTTTCTCAAAAGTAGCATTTTTCCCAGTGATTGTGGCAATTGTCCAGGTTCAAAACCTGGGTTTTGGAGGGGGGGAGTAGCATATATAGATATATATAAACATGTAGATGTAGATATGTACACCATCTGACCCCGAGATTCTGTGCCTGCGCCTCTTCAAACACCTGCATGTATCAAACATGCTGGAGGCTCCCACGGTTGACTCCCAAATCAGCGCAAGTGCTTTGACTCCAAGTGGGATATGGAATGCTGGAACCGATGAAACCTCGAAAACGGAACCTCGAAAACGAAACCCAGTGGTTGGTTCAGCTTTGCGTCCCACTTCGCCAAGGCGCTTTCCAAAACCCTTGGCAGCGCTCGGCTTTGGCCTCGGCAAGCGAACACCCGCTGCTTGATCAACCAGGGTTTCGGCTTCCTTTCCCTTTTGCAAACCTCCAAAAGTGGTAGTTTCAATGAACACCACCAAATTGTTTAACATTTGAAGGGGATATTCGGTGACCCCGGTAAACATGTTGATTGAGGGTGTCCCACTTCAGAAGGGATCCGGATCACTTTTGGAGGGGATTAGAGGACACGAAAGGAGGTCAATTCAGTTTCATTGATCCGGGGTCGACATTTTGGGGTGCAAACGGGTGGCTGAAAAGCGCTTCCCAGAGCATTCCCCTCCTGCCTGACAGCTTAGACGCCCTTCACGGGCAAAACGTCAGATTTGAAAGCTGTGCAGAAATCAATTTTAAAATGCTCAAGCCTATAGCGCACACGTTTGCGCACGCTAATGAAGAGCATATAAAATGTACTTATAACAATATGATTTTGAGAACTGCCAGGGCTGCTCCCAACCTCAAAACAACCAAAACATTGGTTCTTGGAGCACCCCGACTGCATCTCCCAATAAGAAACTGGAAAACACACGCTTGTTGACATTGATAATCACCCTGGTCGGTGCTCGGCGAATTTAGCCAGCTTTCCCCGACAAGTCTAGCAAATCAATTTCGTCCTTCTCGCATCGGTGTCTCACAAACATGCGACAAGGGGGAAGTCACGTCCGCAACAAACCGTTTGTCCACCGGTGGGCGGGAGCCTTTGGGTTCGAGGTCCTCACGCAGCCCTTCGTCGTACATTCCATTCAAGCTTCTGTTAAAGGCCTGAGCCAACAACTTGCAGCACTTCAAGTCCAAGTGCCATTCTCCTCAGTCGGTGAGTAAACCTCATCGTTGTAGCTTGAGCCGGTGGTGGAGCCCACATGTTTCACTGCCTGGCCAGGCGCCGGCGAGCGCCACTTTATGAGAAAGTCCGCATAGTCTTGGCATCCATGTCGAGGGAGGCGTTGTTGTAGATGAGGCACACCTGCCCACGCACAATGACGTCCGCATTGACGGTACGGGCAACGGCACCGCCCAATTCATCAGCGATGCCGAGCTCGCCCTCATTGCCATCGTCCGCCAATTGGCCTGGGGCACCGGTGGAGAAGACACAATGGAATTCATGTGTTGCCCACCGACACACTCTTGCAATACTCGAACGTGTAGTCTGCCAGCTCCGGAACGGTCAAGCCGTCCATTTTGCAGAAGAGCTCTCAAGACCCGATGTCGGAGGGTGCTTGATCATACTCTCCGGCGCTCCTGCTTTCGGCACCCAGGTGGAAATGGAGGTTTGCTTGCAGAAAGTTCCACCGCTCTTCCTCGCCGTAAGGCTCATACCTGATTGTCAAGTATCCGACTTAGCCTGGAGTCACTCCCTCGGTGACTGTGGCTCAGCATCTGTGCAAGGTCTGCACACTTCACCACACCGCCCAAAGCAAGCAAGCTCTCACGGCCATGGCAGTCAACGTACCCTGATACCTAAAATTGGCTCATGTTCTGCAGCGTCCTACGTGTGGCCATCGCTCTGCGGTCTACAGAATTGAAAGAGGCAAGCTGATGCCAAACCTTTGATTCTTCCAGGAAGACCAAATTGGTTCGTGGATTCAGGGCTAGACAATCTATATGAATTGGAGATTGCAACTACTTTGATGCTTCCAACGTGTGCAGAGAAACCCAAACTATGCTTTACCAGATACGTGCACATCACTTTCCCAGTCATGCAGCCAAGGTCAAACCAAGCCGTTCTTCCAAGAGTTCGCGTGACACAGCGCCCGCGTAGCCCGTACAAGTCTGGGGGTTCTCTTCCCCCAAGCCAAAAAGCAAGACCCACCTGGCCCTGACGCCCAGAGCCTAGGCCCCCCGGCGGCACGGCCGCCCGCGCCAGCGGCGCCTTGGGCGCCACCTTCGGCGCCGACCTCGCCGGCTGCGAGGGACTCTCGCGGAAGCGCAGCGAACCGCTGCGCAGCAGCTCCTCGTTGGACGAAGCTCCGTTGAACTAAGTGGCTTGGACGCGCTTCGAGTGGCTCGGCAGTGGTTTCGGATGTTTGGGATGTTTAAGAACTTCATGAACTTCTTCCTGGTTGACAAGGCTGATAAAATGCATAGATATTTGAACTGGATGACGGATGGCCCAACATTTCTAAATGAAAACAACAGGCGGACATGCTCCTGCAGCAGCATCACGAGCTGCGGATCTTGGCACTCGGACGCGCTTCCCTGCTCTGCAATCCTGGCAACGTGTGGTTGTATTCAATTGGAGGAACCCTCAAAGTCAATGGTTTCCTCTTCGTTTTCCGGTCCAAAAAGGGTACCTGAGCAAATACCCACCCACGTGGGTCTCATGGCTCAAGCCCTTTATTGGTGCACTTGATTGGGCGGTCAACTCACATGATTGGATAATGTGGGCGCGCCCTGCTGTTCCAGTTGCAAGGGAAGTGACTGCACCGGCTGAGGTTGTGCGTGCCGCAAATATATCCCTTGCACCTCTTACCCTTTCTTGCCACGTACATATGTCAGTACCCCAAGTAGAATGCAATGAAGTACATGGTTTGGTTGGGGCGCATTGCCAGGTGCATGTAGTCATCTCCTTTGCCATCATCCATGGACATTTCATTTACGAATACACATGTGTGCAATTCTACATATATATATATATATATATATGTATATACATATTGCCCCCCCGGACCACCCCAGACCAGAAATACGAAAACAGGGAAAAAACAACACGCTAGAGAAAAAACGAAGGTCTTCTGGACGAAGGGCCAAAAACCCGAAACGCCACAGCCCTTCTTCTGGGTGAATCTGGTTTTGGGTGTTTCTGGTGTTTCGGATTCAGGGCCCTTCTCTGGAGGACGCTAGTCGTTGTTCCTGGTTAGTTTGGTTGTTCAAGTGCTGTTCTTGTTTTTTCCGGGTTTTGGGCAGAAGGCCATCCACTGCAAACATTTGTCCTCACCCCCGCCTTCAACTAACCTGCCTCTGGAAAGGAGTGAAACTCCTTTTAATTGAAAAGTGTTACGCTTCTTTCGGACTCTCAATTGAAAACAATTGAATTATTTTGTTTATTTCGATTCTGAATAGGAATTCCTTTCTCAATCTGGCAAAAGGCAGGGCTGTATGAATAATCGGAAAAAAAGATGAAAAAAGAGAGCGTGAGGAAAAACGAGTTGTTGTTTCCATTGGCTTAATTGGGATTCGTAGTTTGAACTTTCAAACAAGCATAACACGATACTCCAATTAGAATATACATATAATATTGTGAGGAAAAACAAGCTGGGTGGTCTTCTAGTTTGCCTGCCACGTAAAAAAGGAGAAAAACCATTTCAGCTTTTTGGTTTGCAAGCGCTTCAAGTTTCAAAAACGATGTTGATTCCAATTAAGATGTTCAATAGGATCCAAGTAGGAACTTAATTAGAATTTAAACAACAGAATCTAGTGAGGAAACACACGCTGGTTGTTTCTTTTGATGTGCCTGCCAATTAAAACTTGAATCGAATACTTACGTTGAAATAACATTTGGATAGGAACTGATTTGGACATCTGGTTTTGAATGAGATTTCAATTGGGAATTTATTGGAACTTCATAGAACATTTTATGTTGAATTATATTTTGAATAAGAGTTCTATTCAAAGTTAGCTACAATTCCGATGGAATCTAATCAGGAAACACAAGCTGGTTGTTTCTTCTAACTAATCCAATTATAATTTTCTATGTTTAATCATATTTTAAAATCAAAATCCTGTCAGGCCTTTCTTAAGGAAATATTTGACCACTATGTCAAGGCGTCTGAAGGATCTGCTCTGCATTTTCAAGGTGGGTTTTGGGGGGAGTTTAGCATACATACATATATATATATATATGTGCGCAACGCCCGGCGTACAAGCGTGTATATATGTACAAAAATGTCTATGTGCATATGTGTACCTGACTAGTGCTGAGTTGAGGCTTCTGTTCTGACCAGTGCTGACTTGAGGTTTTTGTTCCCTTCATGGCGGGCAACAACATTTCATGATGACATGAGTGGGCTCGAGCAACATGAGTAGTGGCGAGTGGGAACGTCATGCTTGGCATTCCTTGAGTTTGTTTTCACGCCAGCACTCACTCCCCTTTCTGATAGAGACCGAGACGGCACGCTTCGAGCTGACAGCCTGGAACGAGAATCTGGCATCTGTTTCCAGGTGCCTGTGGCTCATGGGGTGTTTATGGTTTTAGGGTTAAGGTTTCGGGTTCAAGCCTTTTAGGGTCAAGGTTTAGGGTTTATGGTTTTAGGGTTCAGGTTTGGGGTTCTGGCTTTAGGGTTAAGGCTTGGGTGTTTGGGGTTAAGATTGTTTAAGGTTAAGGTTAGGGTTATGTTTTTCAGGGTTCAGGTTCAGGGTTTACTGTTTTATGGTTAAGGTTGAGGGTGCATGGTTTTAGGGTTAAGGTTTAGGGTTTCTGGCTTTAGGGTTAAGGTTTAGGGTTTATTGTTTCAGGGTTAAGGTTGTTTAGGGTTAAGGCTAGGGTTTATGGTTTTAGGGTTAAGGTTTAGGGTTATGTTTTTAGGTTTCAGGCTTAGGGTTTTGGTTTTAGGGTTAAGGTTTTTTAGGGTTCACGTTTAGGAAATTTGGTCTTAGGGTTAAGGTTTAGGGTAAAGGTTTTGGTCAAGGTGAATTAGGGTCAAGCTTTTTTAAGGTTTAGGGTTTCTGGTTTTAGGGGTATGTTTTTAGGTTTCAGGTTTAGGGTTTATGGTTTTAGGGCTAAGGTTTAGGGTTATGTTTTTAGGCTTCAGGTTTAGGGTTTATGGTTTTTGGGCTAAGGTTTAGGGTTATGTTGTTAGGTTTCAGCTTTAGGGTTTATGGTTTTAGGGTTAGGGTTTAGGGTGAAGGTCTTTAGGGTTCAGGCTTAGGTGCCTTTTTGGTTTTAGGGTTAAGGTTTGTTAGGGTTAAGGTTGCTTAGAGTTAAGGTTGCTTAGGGTCAAGCTTTAGGGTTAAGGTTTAGGGTGTCTGGTTTTAGGGTTATGTTTTTTAGGTTTCAGGTTAGGGTTTGTGGTTTTAGGGTTAAGGTTTAGGGTAAAGGTTTTTAAAGGTTCAGATTTAGGTTTTTGGCTTTCAGGTTAAGGTTTAGGGTTAAGGATTTTAGGGTTAAGGGTTTTTAGGGTTCAGGTTTAGGGTTTCTGGTTTTAGGGTTCAAGGTTTAGGGTTAAGGTTTGGGGCTTATGGTTTAGGGTTAAGAACCGCTGACGCTAAGAACCGCTTGTCCTTTTTTTGTTCTAAGGGCAATTGGTGGTGCTTGGCATGAGACAGTGCCGCTGACGCTACGGGTCCGGGCAAACCCCAGGAATTGGCCGTATACATATTATACATATTATATCCAGTTGGTTGGTTCGATGCCATCAGTCCGAACATGTGAACCACCTCTGTCTCATGGCAAAATCATGATTCCGTCTACACAAATGTACAAAATCATCAATTGTGACCACAAAGCTTCAGTCCAGGCGCTCTGCGTTTGCACTTGACTCCACCTTGCAGCCAAGGCACGTGTCAGCACATTCCACGAGAACATCCTGCCCACACCGCCGTGCAATGCTTCGGGCGCATGGTTTCGCCCAGAGATGGACCCTTTCGAAGAAGATTCAGGGGGAATCACTGGACGGGGGTTCACTGCACGTCCAGCCAAACAATCAAAATCCCAAGCTCTGCACGGGGCTCCGTAAATGTCATTTTTTAAAAACCACCCTGCCCAAAAATGAAGCCGGCAAAATTTCACAATGGTGCTGAAGGTGACATTTTAAGCCACACGAAAACGGGAACACCTCAGATGACCCCTGCATCCCAGGTCCTCCAATCTGCTTCTCAACAGCAGGAGCAGCTGGGCGGTGTCCTTGCAGCCATAGGCGTTGTGATTTTTCGCGTACCCTTTTTGAATTCGCTGGACTTTGGTCAACGAAAGGATCACAATATTTTTTTTTTCTAAACAAAATGAACCTACCAGGTAATGAGAATCAACGTGAAAACAAATATGTTCAACCCGGACCCAAAACAACACCTGTGAACAGAAACAACAATTTATTGGTCTTGGGCCCTTGGGCCCCTGCCTCAGATTCAAACGCTCGACTCTCTCGAAGCCAAGTGGCAGCCGGGACCGGCCCAAGCGGAATCCATCCGCCGATGATCACGCAAGAGCCGTCCTGCAGCTGTGACATCAAGCGGGGCAGGGTACATGAATACCAGCAATGGTTCAATCGTGGCTGCCGTAGCGTGCGAAACACAACAAACACAAATTGAATGAACAAACAAAAATAAACAAAACTAATTGGACATTGCACCCAATGGAATTTGCTGGAAACACTGACTGCACGCAGGGCAAGTCCTGATCGTCTGTGCGGATGTTTCCGCTGGTAAATGGTTTCAACAACGCCAAGAGCGGCGGCATGTTGGTGAGTTGCCTGAGTTGCGGAGGCTGCAATATCTCAAAACCAATTCATTCATGGCGGCACAACTAGCTGGATTGGATCAATAGCAAACAGGAAACAATGGCAACGAAAACTTAACGGAACCCACGCGCTGCAAGCAAGCAGCCGACATCTTGGCGGTTTCCAGCCTTCTTCCTTCGTTTGATCCAGAAAAGCGAAGATCGGCGATGGAAATACCTGAGAAACGGCCAACGTCATGGACAAAACCGGCGCAGTGCCACATTTTTCTAGCCAAGCAACATATTCGTTCTTGCAACAATTGATGGACCCTTTGTAGACCGCGCCCACTGTGTCCTGCAGGTTTTGATGGGCGCCCTGCCCCCCCCCCCTCCCGCGTTGTTGTGCCAAACAAAATCAGTTGTCCAGAACCACATCTGTCTTTGGTGTTCAATGAAGCATGCGTGCGGCCATGGCTTTGTGTTGAACCTGATGGCAGCCAGTCCTCCGCCACCCAAACGTGGCGTTTCTCTTGATGCACCGCCAGGTGAGGAAGCGCGGTGACAAGGGACAGGAGAATCGCACCCCACTCCCAGTCCTGTCCCAAGAAAGCAACGAGCAGTGTTTTGTGAAATTTGGAATGCCGAATTCAACCGGCATGTGACCTGATTCGAGATGGATGGTCTGTCAGGATCAAATCTTCATGTCCTGATGGCTCCAGTCCCTGATGGCAGTGTGGCTGCGCTTGTTGCCAAAGCCAGCATCCTCCTGAGTGACACCACCGCGGCCAGTTTCAAGCTGTGAAGCAGCGCAAAATCTGTTCCCTGCAGGATCCGCATGTTGCGCGGAGAAGTCGCGAAGTGGAAAACTGTCTACCAAGAGAGACGCATTTTAGCTTGTACCCTCCACGCCAATATTGTGGGGCAGCCCAGTGTCTGGTAGATGGACAGGGTGGATTTTTTTGAGATGTGCTTAAAAAATGAACCAGGCCTGAGGAAACTCCTTGCGAGCCGACAATGAACTGCGGGTGATATCCCGCCTCATCAAAGGTCGAGGTCAGGCTGCCCAGTGCGGGTGTGTGCAGCAGTGAACGGATCTGCTCTGAAGCATTGTAGACCTCACATCGGTACGGCTCTTTCATGGGGCTCGGTGCACAACATCCACATGGGGGGGTGGGGGGTTCCCGATGAAACTCATAGCCACAATAAACTGCGCCGCTGTCAGACCAAAAGTGGCCAAATGCTCACCAGAGAGGTGACTGCCTCAAGCCTTGTCCAGCACACACGCTCCGCGAGTCCGTATTTGCAGCCCCCCCCCCAAAAAAAAACAAAAAACAAAAAAACAAGACACACACACACCAAACAAAAACAACAAGCAATAGGCCCCGGCCCACGCCTGCCGCATGATGGCAGGGTGGAGGCCCTCCTTGCTGCAATATCCTCGGCATGCGCGATGCTACCCAGAGGCAAATTTCGGTTTTGGGAGTTAACCTAAAAGGACTCTTCCCAAGATGCTAAAGATGATGGTTGTTTGCGTTCCTTCTCTTCATCTGTAGCAAGTGCTGGCCGGGGCAACTATCTGCCGAATTGCTCGCAGCCACATCGCTGCCGTGGGTTTCCAGCAGGCGCGCATAGTCCTTGCTGAATGGAAGGCCCAGATTCCCGCGGGCGGAAGCATAAGGCTTCCCGGGTGCGAAGAGCAAAAGAAGCTCCCAGAAGGAATGGGATAATGCGGGCTTTTGTAGGAAAGCAAACGGAAGCCTGAGGAGAATTGAATCGGCAACCAAGGTCCAAGCTGCAAGACACAACCTTGCGGCTCATAAAACCAAGATCGGCTGGAAATATGACCCCCACCTGACATTACGAAAACACGATCAACCAAACAGCCGCAGCTTTTCCCCCGCGACTCGGAGGCCACAAAAACCCCACGCCTGGTGCACGAGGCCCAGCACAAACTGGTCCTGCGGGCACTGGACCACAGCATCCAAGTCCTTTTGACGCTGCCCCCTAATTGGTGAAGCCCTAAGTTCACAAGGGGTTCCCGTAGAAAAGTGATCCGCACTGAACCGGAACTTTGAACATGTAGAAACGTCCGGAAAATAAGTGGGTGAAAGGTGGGTGTCCCAGTCTCTTCTCCCACCCTTCGTTTCCAAAGAAAAAACAAGTCCCACATTTGGATCAAAACAAAAGGAGGCACCCTGTAAAGGGTGCAGCTGGGACCCTAGCAGCAACCACACCGGTGCTCAAAACCCGGAAATGTGCCAAATTGAGACACTGAGACAATCGGCTTCCATCCCCCCCAAAGGCGGTCCGAGTTCTTGTGAGTTCCTTGGCCGGCGTGTGGAAACTCAAAGGGGCAGAGTAGGTCCCCGATCAGAACACTTGCTTTTGTTGGGCTTAGGTATGGCTACCGAGGAGGTTGAAGCAAGAAGATGGCTCCCAAAGCCCGCTTCAAATGCATTCATCCGGTATGTGGCACCACTTCAAAATCAGGAGGCAGCCTGCTTTCCTGACATGGTTCAAGCGGAGCTTGAACTGCTGGCAAATGACACAGCGGGTGTTTAGCTTCCTCTGTTGTGTCGTTGCGTGTTGGAAGTGCTCAAATGAAAGCTTCTCAGCAACCTTGCCCCGAGCGTGAGGCCGCTTAGCCTTCGCAGATACCTTCCTGCAATAGTGTAGGCTCACAAGCATTGGCAATGGAATCGAGCCATGATGCATGGAGTGGAAAGACTTGCGCGGCGAAAAACAATGCTACAACCGTTGACCCCGAAGTGCTGTTGCAAGGTCCCGTGTATGATCCCCCAGTTTGGGAGAGTTGGTGACTGATGAGCCACGGGACGCCAGCACAAAGGAGACCAACATGGCCATGGGTTCATATGCGAGGTCGTCTCCAATTGCCAGAACCGAAGAAATGGATGGTGGCCCATTATATAGATTCAAGGGTTACCGGTTTGGGGCCCAAAAGGAAACAACAAACCGTCCAAGTGCGCTGCTCGCACATTTTCACGCTTGAACAGCCACACTGCGGATGCAACGGATGTAAAACCCCATAATGACCGATCAAATTCTTCACCCCCCTCTGCGTGTTAAAGGGGCCTTTCACAAAGCAGCCAAACAGTAACACAACAGAGGGTGAAGGTCAAGGGGAACCGTTGCACTCATGCAAACCATGACGGATGCGCTTTTACCACCGCAAGATGAATAGCTACCGCTGCTGTCACCCCATCCGCTCCACTCGGACCAGTTCTGCCAACTGCCACGGCTCCACTGCTCGCCCTCGCGGGCGGCGGGAGCACTTGTCTCGGCATAACGGGCTGCATTGCGAGCAAGGTGTTTGCTGCTTTCGTTCCTCGAAAATTCTATCGAGTTCCGTGCATACCGTTCATTTTGGCCAAAAATCCAGTCCATCTCGTTGCGGAGGTCGTCCAACGTGTTGCCTTGCAAATGAATAATCCCGTTCCAACAACCAATGCTGCGGGGCCTATTCTGCTCCATCACCACGTTGACGAAAGCTCTCGGGCTGTAAGGCATCCCTTGGAACATCACGATCCAGCGAGAGGACAAAGCCTCTTGCAGTTCGTTGGGCAGGAACTCCAAATCTGTCTTGATGTACGCGAGCCTCGCGATTCGCGACTCCGACGTTGAACCAAGGCCAACGCCCAGAGTGCGCTGGGCCTGCGACTGCTTTGGAGCAGCCAAGACAAGATTTGCGCTCAGCTCCATGCGGAGCATGTCCGCCTCCCGACGGCCCACCTCAAGCATACGAACCCTGTATTGAAGATCGAGTTCGTAGCGGTCAAGTAGAGAGTGGTAGCCGTTCTTCAGGGCGGACTTGAGCTTCTTCCGGGCCTCCTGAATAACGGCAGTGTCCGGGGAGTTCAAGCCACGAATGATGCTGTTACGATCCTCCTCGCGAAGGTCGGATGTTCCCACAGATGCAAGGACCTGAGCTGTGACGTGGGTGCTGAGGCCCATCTTCTTCAACAGGTTGGAACGCTGCATGATGTAATTGCGTTGTTGCTCTTTCAACAGGCGTGGATTGAGGGGAGATAACTGCCCACATGATGAGCAGTGCACCTGCCCCTCGAAGACACTGTTGTTGCAAACCGGGCACGTGGCGACATTCAACTCAACATTCTCCATTGGATTGAAAGTCTTCTGCCTCTTCGCTTCCCCTTGCGGGGCGCGAGGAGCGGCCACATTTGTGCGCGTTGTAGCAATACGTTCCAGCGCCGTTGAACGATCATCAACCACAGCTTGTTCGCGCTTCATCCCCTGGGATTCATCTTCAATCGCCTCAGCTGGTGCACCTGCATCCGATTGCTCGGAGCGAGTGTACCAAACATCGCCATTTGTAGCGTCCAATACCGAAATAATCGTGTAATTGGGCACCTTGTCGCGCGTGAGGACGCCATCGCTCTCCGTCTTGAAAAAGCAAAGCCCTGCGCGAATGGCCATTCTGAGATCGATTTGTATCTTCAGGGGTCTGTCTGCGCGTACGCCTGATACGTAGTGTTCGCTTGTGCTGGGGACGTCGGCGAAGAAGACGTGGGGCCGGCCTGTTTCATGCTGATCTCCACCGCCTGGCAGTAATCCGTTCCGCATGATATTAGCGAAATTTCGCTTATCGGTGCGGTGATAAAGCACAGTTGGAGGATTGCTGCAAACATTCCAGCCGGCCCAGCGCCCGAGGTCAGTCCCCGGGTTCACATACCACTCCTTCGCGATGCCGGAGTCGTCGATCTTGAGCCAGTCCTCATGGCCTTGAGAGGCCTTCAGCTTGAAAAGCCAATGAGAACAGGGGACGTCTCCGCACCGGCTTGCGTCCGGGCAACCAAGGCCAATGAACCTCTGCTTCTTGTCCAACTTGAAAATATCCATGATGTTCTGGATATTCCATGGAATGGGATTTCGCAGCTCCTTGCGAAGCGCGAGTCCCAAGTCTTCGAGGTCCATGTAGCCGTCCTCATCCATCACATACCCGCATCATCCCGCATCCTTCTGTTCCGCGACCACGAAGGATCTTGGAGATGCACGTCAGGGAACGGTGGTATTCATCACTGATTCTCCTGACAGAAGGGTCGTAATCGAAAGAGGGTTGCTTGATGATGCTGAGTCTCTTGGGGCCTTCGCCGTAGTCGACATACTTCACGCCATCATGAACGCTATACCGGCCTGCTCACCTCCTCGTCCTTCATTGCCACCGCAGCCGCCTTTGCACCGGCTCGCGCCGGGCGAACACTTTCGGAAACATCTGCACCGGAAGGCTCACCTGAAGTTGCAAACTCGGCTGGGTTGACGGGGGCGAAGTCGAGAGGCTGCCGGACTTCCACTTCTTCTCTGGTGAAAGGGAGCCCGATCATCTCTGACAAAGAAACACCGCATTTTGTAAGCGTCTCCTTGCAGTACGCGAGAACCTCAACGTTGACTGTGCAATCTTCTTGGTGGCGCAGCTCGGGCACATCGATCGGACGCACGGTACAGTCGTGCGAACGTGTCAGCTCGGCTACGCTGCCCATTGCGGGGCGCAGGATAGAAAGCATATATACAACATATGGTGTTCCGCGCATGAACTGGACGGTCTTCGTGATGTTGTCGTCACTGAAGCACATATGATACCTGTCCAGCAAGTCGATGGTCTCGACGAAGGGTGTAGCGTCTACGTACACGAGCATATGATTGGGGTCTGCCAGCAACTGACTGGCTTCGCCGGCGGGGTGGTCGAAAGGGTAGGTGCCACTGGGCTCAATGCCGTCCTTCCCAACAAGCTCATTGCCGTTCCAATAGATCATAGGAACGATGGTCGCCGTCGGGTAGTCCGTACGCACCTCATCGATAAGGGCGGCCATGCGCTTGCAAAGCTGCTGCAGGCCTTTACCCCAAAGCATTTCTGACCTCCATGCACCGACACGCGCCGGGCGAGAAGCATCCAAGCGTTCCGAAAAATCATATTTGCGGAGCTTCTTCTTCTTGCCGGACACCATTGACAGTCCTGAATCAGCGACAGTCAAATAGATAAGGAGGTCGCGATCTGGTACACGAGGAGCCTGCACAACCTTCAAGTAAGGTTTGCTAATAGTTAACAGGGGTGTAAGCAACTGCAAATAATGCGGTTGGTCCTGCACCCATGTATGGATAAGCGACTGTGCAGAGGTCGTCTCCAGGAGGCCCTTGACTGTAGCGGCGAGGTTCGCGTCGTACTTGCCGTTGGTGCATACCGATGTGGTAGCAATATTCTCCATCCACCGCCTCCATGCCGGATCGCAATCCCTCGCGGGATGCGCCATAGCCGTCTGGCCGCTCATTGCGAAAACGAAGCAGCACAATTACTCGAAAGCAACGGCTGCATGGTGGCATGTTCGGAGAATGCATTGTGAACGGCATCAGTGTAAATGTACGTGTATCCCTCGGCTTCCTTCAAGTGGGTGCCACGGCTTTCATCATGCTCGTGAGAACCATCACATTTGAAGTACTCAACAACAGAAATGGTGGGCATATTACTGGCAACGACCCATTGCTTTTTCATTGGTTTTCCATTTCTCCCTTTTATGCCGATTTTACAACCATGGAATTCATACTTGTTCATCTTGTACTTAGTCAAGAAACTCCATAGTTCAGGCCATTTCCAATAACGACACGCCTTAGGGAGTTCGAAGGCAACTCTAATGTCATCAGAATAAACATCATTGAGAATGCGTTTGAACCCTCTCAACAGTGATCGAAATTGCTTGATGTGGCCCTCAATCTTGGCAGCACCTTTGGGAGTTTGCTGGTTGACGTAACCCCATGGGCAACCTCCAGTGCACGGCAACGAGACGTAAAACATGATTGCGCCCTTAGGATTCTTGCTCCTAAATTCGGCGATTTCACGGCTCAACCACTGCCTGCACGTATCGGAGCACCCGTCTTCGGTTTCTGTGACCCGAATGACACGGCAACCTTTCGAAGAGTCTCTTGATTCGCCCAACCGTGAGGTCGTCGAACAACAGAATTCAATAAGGAGACGCTTGGGCTGAACGTTGCATAATGCAGCGATCTGCCCCCCCTGATCGCTAACTTCTCCGGCCTTGGCGCATGGGGAGAGCAGCAAACTGTTGGCACAGGCTCGCGCCTGGCGACTGGGGGAGATTCCGATCAGCTCAAGTGCATGGTGCCACACCGGGGTGCTGTCAAACGCCTTGGTCAAGATGTCTGCAGCTTGGAGGGTAGTGTCAACATTGATTAATTCAAATTGCCGATTCACGAATTGCTCCTGGAGCCATCTGAAGCTAATGCGTTGGGTCCTATCCGTGTGCCTTAGCTTCTGTGAGTGTCCCTGCTGCAGGATA